AGACGTGCACCATTCTCTTAAAAATTCTTCACACTATCCTATGACAAAAATTTAATCAAAAACGATGGAGCCATTTTTTAAACATTTTAATAATGTCTCAGAGGCTTTATGTAAAGTATTTTCCAAAATCAAATTTAAGGGACCTCGACATTAGCCGAATTGATTGAGGAATATCAATTATAGCGTTGTTCACGGACGGACGTTTTGCTGTCATTCGATTTTTTACTATCGAGTGCTCACAACACATGGATTCTGGCTACACCACATGTTAGAGGATTTCCTCTCGTAAATTTAGCAACCGGATTTTCTCTCTACTCCGAAGCGAGAAAATAAATATTAGTACTGGTTAATTCTAGGGATTATGGCATCATGAAAAGCAAACTAGTTTTGTTAATTCACTTCTCTTTAAAGCATTACATTCCTTTTCAACTTTTTGAATGTGAGTACTTGAACATTAGAATAGTATATCTTCAGATGCATAAATAGATCATTCAAACCTTATTAGTAATAAGCAATTACTGCCCATAACAACGTGTAAATTATACAATTGAATCTGAATCTCAGACTATTGGATCGCGAATTTTAAATTATTGCCCTCTTAACAATAATTTATTTACTTATTACTTCCACGGCAAAATTTCGAAAATCTAACAATTTTATGACATTACCTACTTATTATCAAGACCAACCCGTCTATGAAGTTAATTGGAAGACGTGCATTTTTCCTTGGTTAATTTTTGAAACTTTAAAACTGAAATTTATAACAATGAAGTGAAAATTCAAATTGAAACAAAGTTTGAAACAAACTTTTTCATCATGTGCTTGAGGCTATTAGAGAACTTGATACGAATGCTTCTAGAATTTCATACGAGGCTTGCGCAGAAGTCTTGCGTGTAGGTATGACAATAAGAAATTGCACGAACTCTCCATATTTACATTTGTCCTTTCTGATAAATTGCAGACGACTAGATAAAGTGACATTCATAATGTTTTTACCATAATTTCTGTGGGCTGGGAACAGAAACAGTAATCTTTCGCTTTTATTGCATGGACTGCTGAGTGTCTTCGAATATCGCATATCGTAAATGTCTTTTCATTGCCCAATGTGCTACTTACGGATCCTAACTCAGTGGTGTATTATTAGAGTATGTTGCATTCAACTTGATGTTAACGTCTTGTTACTCCGTTCGAGGGATGTACTAAACTGTGATTCTTCTCACATTAATTAGCTATTCAGATCACTAATCAGTTAGAGTATACTAAACGAGATCAGGTGTGTATACTGCAAGATTCATAATTGCAAATATTTTACTTGACCAAATTAATGTTCAATTCTGGGTAATATTCATTATTGTGAGCATGTTTGAAAACTATTTGAAATTCGTTGCAGTTCTAATCTCGCACGAATTTTCCTATTTCATTGAATTATCACCTATTTTTTGTCCCTTATATAAAGTGAGAATCAGCTTCATTTTCACCTGAATTATCATCTATTTTGTGTATCAGCTTCATTTTCTTTCTATGAAAGAACATAATTTCATGTATACTAAATTTCAGTGGAAAGTATGCTTTGGGGAGGAATTTTTGTCACACCAAGAAATAGGTCTTGTTGCATTCGGCCTTACCGCATTATATCGATATCAAATAACATTAAATTATGTGGAACTCTTGCATTTATTACTCTTGCTTCGTTACTAATGCAAAAGAGAGTCATGTATTACGTTGATATGTCTTTTTTACTTCGCGAAATAATTCCGGATATATAGTCCCGAGAATCTGAAGCCCCTTTCTACATTGTGCTACACAAATCATTCTGAATTCAATCATCCCTTCTTTTACTTCGCTCATCCTATTTGAATAGTGACTAAGTGAACTTAATATTTGAGTCACTTCCATGTTCCGTTAACAATTTGTCTCAATATAATTTTGCATGCAAGACTTTTAATGTCGAAAAAGTAAAACAGTAAAATTCTTTCTAAAACAGTATTTTTTTGAATAAGTTTATAATGATACTTGCTTTTAAATTGTCTTCTAAATTAACTGAATTCTTATCGAGGAAACAAAGTACTTCATTTATTACAAACTGTTCTTTTATTTGAATTATAAGCTGTATGGGGGCTAGAAATTGATCTTGAATATATTTGAATAATAAGTTACATGGGGCTAGCAATTGATCGCAAGATGTTTCACATCACAATTCAAAGTCAGTTGGCATTCACAACATGTAATATTTTCTCATTAATTTAGAGTATTTTATTCTACATTTATATTTTGTTTCTAAGGATATGATTTTCAGCATACTGTTGATTTGAAAGGGAAGTGAAATGTTCTTCGGACTTGTTAATGAATGTGGACATTCCTGTTTTTCTTCTCGCTGAATAGCTAGTATTTTTTTAACTTGCTTTTTAATCTGAGCTCCGAGTCCTGGTCCCAATCCCTGGTTAAAAGAGCCATGTTCTTGACCGCTGAAAGTAGAGGGCAAAGCGGCGTTGCCAATTCCTCTTCTTCTTTTGCGTTTTTTGTACAGATGAAACATTTTACCTTTGGCGCTCTAGCAATCCCCAGTTCAACATTGATTATGTTTACGCCCATTTATGAGAATTTTTGATCGCGTGAATTGGAGAAAACCATATCATATTTATACTCTCGAGTAGTGAACGGAGATATTACCACTGCGACGAAGTTTTATAATTTAACTTCGGGCGTCATTTAGGCTTGAGATTCTACCTGCTGTAAAAATTCGTCATGGGGCAACCATTTCTATAAAGATATTGTAATAAGAAGGGACCATGGCTACTGTTTGGCTACTGCTCGGATCATAACTGCTGGTTATGCCCACGTGCTTAATTAGTTAATGCATTGGCAATTGGATCACTTATAAATGCTTTCGACAAAACTTCTTGCAATGCCATCATCCAACATGACTTTGTTTTGAACCTTGTCAAATTGGTACCTTCTTAGGTTAACTTATCTATACGTTTCTTGCGAGGGAAGGAATATGAAGAATATTTTTGTCGACCTGTTTTACACAATTTCTTGTGACGAACAATTCAGTATTTTTGGCGAACGCGCGCGTATGTTTTGTCGCTTGTGAGGTTCCAGATCCACGACTTCGACCAGATTCAAACCACACACTGGGGTGTAATAGTCATGGTAAACATCGAGGTTGCTGCCGATGAACTGTATTACGCATTCACTTAATTTACAGTTTTAATTACATAATTGATGTTAAATCAAAGTATTTCGTTCGGGAAAGTGTATATATATATATATATATATATATATATATATATATATATATTTACCGAGTAAGCCAAACTAACTGCTACTCGAAATACCCGATTTGAGAAAACTTAACTCGTCATTCAGTCGACCAAATGAACTCCCTTGAACTGAAGGTTGGAAGGTGAGTTCCAAAAATACAGAACCTTTTAGAAGATTATAATTTAATTGGGGGGCAATGCATTTACTGTACGTAATTTATTGTACTGCACTGTACGAGTAGCAACAATTGAAATTTGAACAATTGAATGCAGTTTGCAGATACAAATGTGTTATTATTTATGCATACTTTGTTGTGGTTTATATTCATTACTTTTCTGACTTGGTTTCATTAAATTCACTGATAAATCGCCGATTACTCGCCGTAAATAAATTATGTATATTGTTTATTAACAGCTAATTTGTCTAGGAGGACATTTTTCTTTAGTTTCGTCCCGTAAAGAAGTGTCTAAATGTATATACAAGAGACGCAAATCTTTATAATCATTATTTAAATAAATGAAAGTTTAAAATGAAGTGAAGTCGTATGAAGATGTCAGACATTGTTCATCGTTCAGATGAAATTTCAGTGAGAAAGGAAACATGATTTTCATTGACTAAAAGTTATTGTTGTTTTAATTATTTTTATCTGTGAAGAGAAAACTCTGTACCCCTTATTCAGCATATTGCGCGGAAGAACAAGTGTGAGATGTTACATAGTTAAAGTATGTACGGAGATGAGTGCAGGAAGTCAAAATGTATATGTTACACATATATTAAATTAAATAATATACCGTACAGATACAACCCGCAACACTGCAACACGCTTCCATCGTACATCGTACATCACTCGGAAACGATGCATTTTAGAGTTTTAAACATCGATCTTCGTGTGACAGAGTATGACATTTAGATGTCTTCTACCAAGCTTAGCATTCAAGAGAAAAATACAACACTCCATATTTGCAATTGTGTACTTGAAAAGTGTAATATATTATAATAATTTCGCACATGAAGAAAATTAAAGTTTGTTATTTACATAAGTTCATAGTGATATACTTTTTTACTTAAAATTATACAATAACAAAAAGGTACTGGATTCAGTATATTTGACTTCCGAAAGACTTCCCTCTTTCGGGGTTAGGGTAAAAAGACCTTTTTTCGTTGTATTTCTCAGCCACGCGGGAAGGTTTTCATAGGTTTTCCTATTTCTTAGGTATTCCAGAGAATTAACGAGCACAGCGCGTGCTAATGACATTCACAATCACTCGCTCACTGATGACATAATATAACAATATTTTTAAAAAAATCATCAGATACAGAAGTTCGCACGGTTTTATAGGATAATACCCTACAATTTACATTTGAGGCACTAAGGATAATATCGGCTGTACCAAACCGACCTCGCATTTTCAGTTAGAAGTATGACAGTACACTCCTACCATGGAGTACCTATCACAAGCTGAATTATCAAATAACTTGGGATATCGAAAAACCTTCAAATTCCTCTTTCAAAAATGTGTCGTAAATGAAAGTAAACGTGAACGAAAACAGAAAGAGATCATTTTTCTCATAACTTGCTTCGTTTGGGATCTGTCACACACACACACAAATATATATATATATATATATATATATATATACTATATATATAAATATAAATTCCCAGCGCGCTCATGGAATGTATTTATAGAGATAGATGTTATTATAGAGTACATATTTTTTTCTCCATTTCCAAGCAATGTATTTGAAGTGTTTGCGCAGAGGTTACGACCTCGTGACCTGTCTCCTCTGCATGCCAGCCTGTCCGGGGGTTTTCCGTCCGTTCGTGGCAGCGCGCGCGGCCGCCGGGCTTTGATCTCGGTGCAGGCGGTGGGCGCGGGCGGACACGCGGACTTGGGCTGCACCACGCCCGACGCGTGGCGCGGGCAGGTGCAAGCAGCCGGCCGCCGAGCGCAGCGGGGCAGGCACAACGCGCATCCCCACTGACCAACGTCCGCCCTCGCGTCCGCGCCCGCCCCCGCGCCCGCCCCGCGCCCGCCCCCGCGCCCGCCCCCGCGCCGCCCCGCGCCCCGCCGCCCGCGCGCCGCACCCCGCGCCCTTGCGCCCGCGGCCTGCCCGCCCCCGCGCCCGCCCTCCGCGCCCGCCCGGCGCCCCCCCCGCGCCCGCACCCGCGCCCGCCACCGCGGCCCGCACCCGCGCCCGCACCCGCGCCGCGCCCGCGCCCGCTCCCCGCGCGCTCCGCGCCCGTCCCGCGCCCGTCCCGCGCCCGTCCCCGCGCCCGTCCCCGCCCCGTCCCCGCGCCCGTCCCCGCCCCGCCCCACGCCCGCCCCGCGCCCACTTCCGCGCCCGCCCCCCCGCGCCAGCGCCCGCCCCGCGCCCGCACCCGCGCAGGCCCCCGCGTCCCCCCCCAGCGCCACCCACCCGCGCCCACACCTCCCGCGCCCGCCGCTTGCGCCCCCGAATATATATATATATATAATATATAATATATATAATATATATATATATATAATGAAACGTCAAAACTTTGCAAATCAGCTTTTAAGGCAGTTGTAAGCATATTTGGGGTTATTCCGAATGGGTGAGCCGCTATAAGCACTCAAAAGTTGTTTTGCAAAAAATGCTTTCTAGGCAAAAAATTGTATTGCAGAAGCATAGATGCACTCCGGAAACATGTAAATTGTTTGTTATTTACGAAGGAAATGAATAAATTTGTTCAAAAACATTAACCGAGAAATAAAAATAGCAGTCGAAATGTGTAAATTGGGTGCTTTTTTGTCTTAATGTTTCGTTCGAAATAAGTACCGGGAGAGATGGTTCAGGATATCAACTGATGTCACTGCAGTCCTTCTGACCGGTTCGAGTCCCGATGGTGGCAGGATTTTCGACGCTACCTTTTCAGCTAGGTGGAATTTAATCGCTGTCTGGAGAAGATTTCTAGCGGCCGGCTGCTGTTCGTAATTTTCCGTGGTTTCTCCGATCAAGTGTGTACGTAAGCTTCCGCGGCTCGAATTCATGAATTCTCGGCTGTCCGGGAGACGCCGCGTCGTTGGCTGGGGTGCCGACGTTTCGCCCGACATTTCGCAGGCTTCCTCAGGGTAGTGACACTGTGACACCGGACAGCCGAGAATTCTCCGATCAACCCCAGACAAATGCCGGAGCATAACTGTAACAAACGGGCTATGGACAGCGCACAATCTTCCAAATCTCTATCTTGTTCTATCCTCGCCCTCTAAAGACACACTAACATGCACTGCACTACCACACATGACGGGAGACCGGTCTGCACCCATCTGGGACGGTGCCCCACTGGTGGTAGTATACCTGATTAAGGAAAACCCCACTAGATAACGGTAGGTCGGCGCCGGATCTCGCCATACAGCGAGGGAAAGATCACCGCCACTTCCCGAGCAAAACCACGCACTACATTCACGGGACTAATGACTATACTATTGACGCGCCCGGAATCACTAACAATCAATTAATCGATGTCTACCACAACTCCTTCACAATGGAAAATAATTTGAAACAAATGTGTTAATCTTCGCATGTAAGCCATAACACATCCGCTTAATTCAGAAAATCTCTCTCCTCAAAAATAGGATCGTTTGTATTTTGATTATTTTAAATTATTTTTCTTTATCACAAAATAAGTTTTTAACCATGTTTCTATGGAATGCATTTAAAACTGTAAAAAATGCGACATTCACATTAATTCTTTATTATTAAAATGTACAAAGCCAAAACTTCTAGTAGACGCCTTTCTATTGATTGACCTGTCTGAAAACAACACATCCGCCACTAGTGAAGATTGCCCACGGAAGGTTGAAGGAAAAGAATACTGGACTGATAAAGATAAGAATAGATTAGAGATAGATAAGCAGATAAAAGATAAAGATGATGTTGACATAACAAAGAATTTCAACGATGTATTGAATGTCAACTTAGTAAGTCTTAGTAAGTAAATTACTACTTAGTTAAAACCACGTAAGAACAGTATAGATAAAAGCGAGAAAGAAATGACTGTAAATGGCTAGTAATTGAGATACGTTGAAGAAGCAGCGACTACGGAAAAGGAAGACTGATACGAAGAAGAAGAGAAAGAACAATTTATGATGGTGAAGTTAATAAGACTCGCTGAGTTCATACTAATAGGGGAAGTAGCATAATTTCGTGTGATAATTGATTTCATCTCAAAGGAAGCGAAAATAAGACAATTAGGAACATAATATATCTTCCATCTGTTAATTAGTTCCGCGTTTCCGATTGCATCTGCTAATTATTTCAGACTGCATTTCGTCTTTTTTAACTATATAAAACATTTGATAAACAGTCTGAATTCACCTTCGCAAAAAGTAGAGCGAACAAGTATCTTGTTTAAATGAATAATTACTTGATAAACTAGTGTCTAAAACTTATCATTTAGTATATAAGCAAAATTTGTTTTCAAGTCTATTGCTGAGGACTTATTCAATATTCATCTTTGCATTCATATCTGGATACAAACCATATTACTTTCATTCCCTGAAGTCATTACGCTATTGTTTTCACGTTTACCTCACCCGTGTGAAGTAGGCTTTCGGCACATGCGAAAAATGTCACGGCTAGCCACGTGGGGAAATGCACCTCGAATGAATACGTGATGAGAAAACGTCCGAGGAACTAGGACCTTTCTCCACAACTACCTTCCCTCATGAGTCACTTTCAGTCGGAATCGAAGGCACGACATTCGTATGCGACTGCGGACATGCGTATTAAAAGTGGAAGGGGACAAGTGAATTTGCACAAATATTTGTTTTCAAATAAAATTAGCCTGTACATGTCTTACAATAATAGACAATTTTTTTACACCTTTTCGTTAACTGCGTAAAAAAGTTCATTACTCTTTGCACTGCCACACATTTAAACGAATGATCTATCATCCTAAGGAGGGCGGCCGTTCTGCACGAACGGAAGGTTGAGGGTTCAAATCTCGCGAAAAGCATGGAGGTTTCTACCTTTTGATTGTGGGGTGGAAGGCAATGGCGAATCACCATGTACCGTATCCCACAATATGATTCATTACATTAGAATTTGAAATCGATTCATGTCAAAATACTATAAACGAACTCCTAGGTTAGAAGATGAAGAAATAAAAAATGTAATAAGAAATTTTGGAAATGAAGAAATTGAAAAAATCTGATGGAAAAATTTGGGTTGTTTTTAAAACATTTAACTCTCTTTGGAAACTTATCTTTTTCTTACACATGTGAAGATGGATTATGAATATATATATCCCTCGCTCGATCAAATGCTGATTCAGGGTCTTGACAACCACTCTCATATGAAATACTGGCGAAGTAACAGCAGCATTTTCCACGGATGAAGGAGCAAAATTGGCAACAGCGACTGACATCGTAAGTGGAGCACAGAGGAAGAGAAAAACACGGTTAGCTCCCGACAAAGCGACGGCTGGCGGCGGCGCACTATGGCCCGGACAGGCGAAAAGCGGACAAAAATAACTCGCTTCAGTTAAACAGCGGTTTACAACGACTGCTCTGTAGACGGGAATGTTCTTGGTTCGAGTCCCGAGCGTGGTTGGTGGACTCCAGCAAAAAAGTTGGGTCGAAGCCAGGGACCTAACTAGAAGGGAACAGACGAGGTGTATGCCACAGGCGGTGGATTGGAAGGGGACGCTAAATTTAATATCTTTACTTTCGAAATCAAGCATGTACTCTTTCCTCCAGAGATCTTGCCCCGGGTTAAAACGTAGTTACGTCTCTGGCCGAAGACGAGCAGTTTTCACGACATGGTTGTTGAAGTAGAGTCAATTTACAAAAATAAATAAATAAATAAATAAATAAAAAAATAATAAATAAATAAATAAAAATAAATCAATAAATAAATAATAAATAAATAAATAAAAAATAAATAAACAATCGTTAAATTTCTCGGTAGAGCAAAAAACGGGTCCAGTTTTAAGATATTTATATTTTCGAAAATTGCAAACTAATAATTAACATGGCGAAACGACCACATTTAGGAAAGAGCTTTTCTTCCTTAATGAAATCTGTTTTTAAAACTACATCTTGAAATAATGTAAATGAAAATATCTGCTTGTTTTTTTTAATTGTGAATAAAAATGTCAACTTTGTTTTAAATCGCTGGGAAAATTGAGTATAGCCATTAGGTTGGTGTTGCGGGGCATGGCGTGTTGAATCGAAGACCTGAGTTCGAATTCCAAAGCAGAAAACATTTTTGCTAGTTGAAAACACTTTCGCAGGTTCATATTGCATTAAAATATTGCGCAGCCATTTCACATAATGCAAGAAAGTATTTGGTGATGAAGTGCCACTGTTTCTTTTCGTACGTGCTCGAAGCAGGGGCTGATTTAGCGACAGGAAATTCTATTTTACATTCTTAAACATTTCGAAACACTATTCAAGTGCTTAGTGAGGGGATGTATTTTCTTACACCGTAACGTTGAGCGTTCTGTCTTTTTGAAGTAATGCTCACAAACTCGCAAAGTAATGATGGGCAAAATTCTGCAGATTTACTAGAAAAACACTCATTATAAAAGAATAACTTTTTGTGGAAATACGTGTATTAGGTTAATAGATTACATTTATTTTGGGTGCAATAGACTTTTAAAGACACAGAAGCATATTGTATGAATTTTTTTCAAGTGTTTGATGACTTTTTTTCCAATATGTTGTGAATGATTTTTCCGCATTGCAGATCCCTCCATAGATGAGATCAAAGGCTTATTTTTCTTTTAATGCGGCTCCACATATTCGGCGAGTAGCGAGCGACCGCTAATCGAATCCCGAGTAGTGTGGATGAGTTGCTATTTGCCAAGTGACGAACATTCGGTGCCCGGCTTATCCACCGCATGTCGGTCTTTAGGACTCATCAAAGGGAACGAACATTCGCCGAACACCAGCTGTTCGGGATTGGACTCGCAGTAGCTCGCTATTCGGCGAATGCCGAGTGTGTGGAGCCGCCTTAAAAGGAAAACAGGTATTGCCCTCATCCAAGGACGGATCCGCGATGCGGAAAAATCGTTCATGAAATATTCGGAAAAAATACCATAAAACATTTGACAAAAATATCATAAATGTTTGTGTGGATCAGTGATTTCGGGTGTCTCAACGGCTGAGGTTACCATTAGTGTCGTGCATGCGGTTTTGCTTGGGAAGTGGCGGTGATCTTGCCCTGCGAGATCCAGTACCCGCCTAGTCTGCTTACGCTGTTTTCCCCATCAAGATATCTCCTACCGAGTCAACGCCACACATGTGGTAGTGTGGTACATATGAGTGTGTGTAAGTAGTGGTGAAGATAGGGCAAGGAAGGAAATAAATAAATAAAGAAAGAAAGAGAAAGATAGCGCGTTGTCCGAAGCCCGTTTGTGAGGATACTTCTCCGGCATTCGCGTGTTGTTAATCGGAAAAAACACGAAAAACTACCGATGAAAGCAGCCGGCCGCTAGAATTCTCCTCCAGGCAGCGACAGAACTCGAGCTTGTAGCTATTTGGCTAGTGCCAAAAATCCTGCCACCGTCGGTAAAGAAACCCTAGATATCTAGCTCAGAGGCCATCAGTTAATGCCCTGATCACCACCTTGATGCCCACATCAGTTAACGCCCTGAGCCACCTTTCCCTGACCGCCCTTACGTAAATCCGGCAGTGGTTGCACTAATGTCAATGGGTGATGGTTTTTTCGAAGGCACGCCGTTTTGTCCGTTCTGCGCGCTTTCCAATCCACCGTGCTGTGCTGCTGCGACCGCGGCCAGCGCCCGGGAAACGGGGCTTGCGGCGAGCGCGGCGCGCGGAAGGGGGGCGGTGCCAATGGAAAAGTACCGAGGCGCCCAAGCCCTTGAACCCCCCCGGAGGGCCGCAGCGCGGGCGCCGGGGAGGGGTGGGGAGGGGAGGGGAGGGGCGCTCCGTGCGCTTCATTGGACGCGTGCGGCGGTTGCGCACGCCCTTGTATGGCAGCGTTGCATGATACGACGCCACGCGCTGACAAAAGCGACGGAAACAACCGCCAAGTAATAATGATAATGATAAATAACTAATGTATATCGGGAGAGGTGGCTCAGGGCATCAACAGCCACTACAGTGTTTAGAGGATCGAGTCTCAACACTTTTACGATTTTCGACACTAGCTAGTACATAGCTAGCTAGAATTCAATCACTGTCTGGAGGAGAACTCTAGCTGTCGGCTGCTCCGATCGGTAGATTCCTGTGGTTTCTCCGATCAATGCCCAGCTAATGCTGGAGCAGTACCCTAATGGACCACCGACCGCGCGCCTTACTTGTTCTATGCTCTCCCCTTCCTTACCCACTACTGTACACTACCACGCATGCCGGGAGAGAAGACCGGTCGAGAGCTTACAGCATATCCCGGCTGGGGCGGTGCACCGCTGCTGGGAGGTATCTGGTTGGTGAAAACCCCGCTGGCCGACAGTAGGTCGGCGCCGGACCTCAACATCCAGATGAGGAAGATCAGCGCCACCTCCCGAGGAAAAACATACACTACACTAATGGGACTAATGACTTTGGCTGTTTACGCACCCGGAATCTCTAATCCATCATTCAATAAATAATAATGATTAATAAAAATAATTAATTGTATGTATGTATTTGTCGATTGAGGGTCGGATTAATCGGACTTTTATACGGAATTAATACGACCAGCTAGACGTGTTCTCCGACCTTGGCCCTGTTTCTATTTATTTACGCTTGGGGTAAGGAAGGCATGCGGCGTGCATGGCGTATTCCCAATACCGTATCTTGCAAACTTGTCTTGGCTGAGTTTTTCTTTCGCCAACAGCTGTAGCAACTGAAACGAATTTTGCTAGGTTACAGTTGTATTTTGGCCGGCCGGGAATCGAACGCGGTATTGCACAACGAAAGCTAGCACTCTATCCACCTCTCGAGCAGTATATAATTACAATATTATTATTATTATTATTATTATTATTATTATTATAACCGGAAAATGTAGGTCACAGGATTTGGTCGGAGTTTCGGAATATTTTCGATCCATCCTCAAGGCTTACTGCAAGATATACAGATGGTTAAAACCTCTCAAAAACAAAATGGGTTATTACAACCTTTTGAATTTTTCATAAAAAGGTGGTCAATAACTAGATTCGGTTACCTTGCTGAAGTTTCTGGACTGCGTTATTCGCTTATCCATCTGGGTTACGACAGATGTAACCTGGCTCCATGCCGCCCCCGCGGTAAACCCAACCCTTTTATCTACGTCCCAACCATGGCATTCCCGATTTGCATTGCGTTTGGTTTTCCTCCTGAGTTCAAGGAAGAGCTCGCCAAGGTATCAGTTCTTCGAAGCATCGCCCTTTCGCTTTCGTATTCAAAGAATATGAAAGAGGAAAAGGGACAAATAAACCTTTGAAGATTGTTGATTTTGTCTTACCGGCGTTCTGTAATGGTCGTATAGAAAGACAAAGCAAAGTTTGTTATCTAGGAATTAAATTTATTAATCTGGGTTCTAAGTATACCGTGAGCTGCTCCACGAAAGAGGCGAAACAACCATGTGCCTTCAAGATACGCCGAAGTAAAATAATTTTATTTTAGTTAGAAAACACACACTGAGTCGATGATTCTCCCTGACTCGAGCATCCCTCTCGATTGGTGTGAGAACATTTATTTGCGTTACATTGTTTCCTCTAGCCTCGTCTCAAAACACTGACTGGGAGGAAATCGGATTATGCCTTCTCAAGTAACGAAAGGTGATAGCGAATTAACTGGATCAATTGGATAAACTGGAAAGCTGACCGTTGGATTCAATAGGCAACCCCGGGACATTATATTTTGGAATCAACCGTAGCTATAGACATAGTCTTCGTGAATTTAATATTGTTAATATTGTTATTGAAAGAAGAACAGAATGTTTTTATTGACAGAAAAACACGCATGGTCCTAAACCTCGAGGAATTTAAGAAAGCATGTTGTGTTAGAGTTTTGCTTTTTGACGTAATACATACACACTACTAATGTGTAAGTATATATAATGTTTATAGTTACGCTGATGATATCTGGAAGACTATTGCGAATATTGAATATGTATTGTATGTATTTGTATCCATGCTAACATTTCGCACGATTGTTTTAAAAGTGAAAATAGCTTCTGTCTGGAACAGATCGTCTACTTATCTTATGTTTTATCATCTGTGATCCTTGTGTTGGTCAAGGCTGAACATTTTAAAATTACTGAGCGTTTGTTAACAAAAAAAAACTTTAGAAATGTGCTAAAAAGTAGCAAATTATTAAATAGTCAATTTAATTTTAGATAATTTCGAGATTCTGCACGTTTCTGACCACTCACATCATGGTGTGTGTACTTTTCCTTTATCTTCCTTGTCCTATTATCAACCCTCACCAACAATACATACATCCACTACAGTACCACATATGCCGTGAGACCAGGCGCGTAGATCTTGTCCCTGCTGGAACGGTACACCACTGATGGAGTTACCTGCAGCTGACGTGTAGGCCTACGCCGGATCTCACCATCCATCGGGAGAAGGACACTGTGTTAAAACATGTTCTACACTTTACGGACTAATGACAGTGCAGTTTACGCACTTCGAAACACTCATTCAATCAATCACTCTATCAT